ATGTATAGATAATAATGGCAACTATTTTGATTAAATAAATTTGTTAATAATTTAAAAAATAAACAATTTAGATTTTCAGTACAAATCGGCAATTTCATACTTTAACCCCTATTATAAATAACATTTTCATAAATGTACTGTGACGTTAGTGTAAGAATGTTAATCTCTTTAAAAAAAAATTCTTCTACTATGATATCTTAGTTTTGTTGCCCATTTGTCCACATAAAATAAATAGTTGGATCTAATGGATTTTCTGACCGGACATTATGTCAAGGCAAAAGTCAATTAAATTCTAAAAAAAAATCTAGGAGTTGTTCTTTGTAAATAAACATTTATATACGTTCATCATTTACTATGTTATTTCAAATATAGATCGGAACAATCAGCAAGAGCAAAATGGGTCATTATATAATAATAATAATAATAACGCACACACTCAACATAGCCCCGCACTAGGGAAACCCTGTGTCGCGGGTGCGATTATTTATTATATTCAAATTCAAATTCAAGTTCAAATTCAAAATAATCTTTATTTCATAGGTAAGCATTATTACACTTGAAATCGTCACAATATTAAACTCTACCGCTCATTCGTAAGGCAGATTCCCCTGAGAAGAATGAGCAAGAAACTCCAGGGGTATAGTGGATGTTCATCATCAAAGTACGCAAATTTTGAAAATCAGCCGGAATATAAACGACAAGGCACCATCGTTCGCACGTTAAGGTCCATGTTTAAAGGTTATCATCACTATCAGGCACTGTGTGAATCCGAGTGGAATGTAGTTAAATCTTTAGAAACACAAACCAACGGTGTCAACAGAAAACATTAAATCTGTGTTGGTCGCGTTAAGCTTTATTGCCCTCATGGGCATTTCTTGTGAGCCCTTTTTGCTTTTGTCACTTGACTTACGTTTACCACTTCTTTATTCTTATTTAAGATTTTTCTTCGGATTGAACAATTAGACCTTAACATTAAATACTTAGAGCTTAAAAAGATACAAAACACACTCACGCATATACATACACATTATGTAGATACGCAGATAATAAATATTTACATTGTAAAGGAGATAGGACCTGTTACTTATTCACACGTAGTAAAGTTTTCGTACAACCGTCTGTTTACTTAATTGGTACGATAGTTGCCTTGTTATAACAGCGCAATGTGTAAAGGAGAGTAGGCGGTATAATGCTTCGGTAAGATGAATAGCTTAGAATAGAATATTGTTATGGAATGTCTGTAGCAGTAGAGCTCCTTGTAAAAGAGTTCGGCCAGCCAGGTACTGCCATCTTACTTATTTCTGCTGCCAAGCGGTGATGTGAGCATTGCTGCGTTCCGGTTTTGAAGTGTAAGGTGGCTTGCTGATGAAATTACAGGCACATAGGACTTGCCAACTTATGTCTCAGGATGACAGGCGCAGTGGCAATGCCCCTCAGATCTTTGCGATTTAAAGCGCTGCAACTGCTATAGACAGGCGTGTAGCTAACCACCAGACGCATGACTTGTTCGTCCCATCACTTACACTTACACTCACTGGTATAATAAAAAAATTTTTTGTAAATACGGTATAATTAAATTAGAAGTTAGTAGATAAAAAGTTTAGCACATTTTGCCAACAAGCGACATAGGAATATTAAAATTAAAACATTATTATTCACTAAATTGTCAAAATATACTCCCAAAAAAATACGACTCATGACAGATTCAAGTTAAAAATGTTAAAACAAGGAATGCAATTCAATTAAGTAATTGAAAGTTGTCATAAAGATATTTCCTTAATAGTATAATAACATTTATCAATCAACATCGATCCCATTTAAGTTAAAACGTAAAAACTAGATAAAATAGAGCGTATTTTACCATGACAGTAGATGCATGTGGTCGCCCCGCGGCGGCAACCCGGATGATGAAATTCGTGTCCAATAATGTGCCCTCAGTACCCTGTACTGTGTATACGATCTAATTATTTTTTGTATCGATTCATATCAATAAATTTCCAAGCGAATCATTTAGTACAAAGGCAAAATATGTAAGCAAGCAATTAAGATTTTCTAATAACACAAATATTTGGTTGTATTCTCGAGTTCGGGCGTTAATGGGTTTTAGTCAGATTTAAACCCGGCGTTAAGAGTCGATACTACCTCAGCTCGAATTAAAATTTCTCCCGTACTAATACGGTTCATTTTGCTTAGGTCAAGAGGCAGGGACACTGGCTTTACATCAGAATTTATTTTTTACAAACGAAATTTGAAAAATGTATATCACATAGTACTACTAAGGTATTTCTATGATATGATACGACGTTTTCACGCTGCTGCCAGATTCGCAGAATGCCAGATATTAGCAAAATGCCAGACTCTCAAAATGCCAAATTTCGCTGCCAGGACCAGGCGTTCCTCCTACTGACGTACGATTCAAAACAGAGATCTAGATATGATTCGCACTAGTAAATTCCGTGAGGAGGAGTGTGAACTTAGTGTGAGTTCGCTCTAGCTAAAAAGTGTCAGAACATATCGGGTACTAGTAAGGATCAATACAGATTATTTATTACGTATCGGGTCCTTGGGTTATCGCGATTGCTACTTATTGGAAATTAAGCTATATTTTCGTATCTAAATCGAATATATTTGTTTTTCCAATGGCCAGTTAGCCGTGCACGACACATTGGTTTGTTCAAAAAAGCAAATATAAGATTTCGATCCAAATATTTTAACAGATTATTTTCCTCCATGGCGATCGAGTCGTAAACTAGGGCGAAACTATGTTAATTTGCAGATTCCTCAAAGATCATGGTTAGTCTTAGAAAAAGCTTAAGTTACAATAAAAAATATTATATGGACGCTGATAAACAATAACGTATCGCCAACCAACATGATCATAGTTTTGCGAAAATGGCACCTAAATATTTTTTCGTTGTTTTTGATAGTTTGGTCTAAAATTTACTTGTAAAATGAAAACTTTTGCTGTTGTTACACCAGGAATGTTGAATTGTTCTGATTTATTAGTATAATTCCCCAACAACAACAAGCACAACAGAAACAATTTTCATTTTATAAGTAAATTTTAGAACAAACTATCAAAGACAACGAAAAATCTTATTGGGGCCATTTTCGCAAAACTATGATCATGTTATGTATTGTATTATTTTTGTGTATTATGTATTTATTATATATGTATTGCTTATCAGCACCCACATATTATATAATAAATTAAAATAATACTGTATCTCCAATATAAAAATTCAAATATTAATAATTAGGCCACGAAGAGGCGAGAATCTATAATGGATACCTAAAATAATATATATTATATCAAATTATATACATACATAAGGTATACGCGCGTATGTATCGCGAGTATATACATGTATTTTGATAAAAGATAGTTTTCATTTTAGTTGTGTTTGTTAATTTCAGTTAGTTTTTTGAAATGAAGCAACTACTTGCTTCTTCTTCTTCTTCTTGCTTGAACGCGATGTTT